CGTGCCGTTTTCCATACAACAATCTCAATATTAATGCTTCGATGGACGCATTAATGTCAGCTGCTCTACGAATACCCGAAGTCTATAATATTATGATGGAACACACTACAGTACCGCCGGTAGCCTGCAGTGTAATAGTTATAATATTATTATCTGGTACGGACATGTTTTCGTCGTCGCTTTGACATCGAACGACACTCTTGTGCGGTGGACTAAGGAATCCGGCAGATACAGGTAATTTAATTGAAACGGCAAATGATGATTGGCCGATGTATTAATTCGACGGACAGAGGAATCGCAAACACTTTAACTTGCGTAATATATATATATATATATTGGTAGGTACCGTAGTCGTTGTACTACTAGACCAGAGGTGGCGAAACTATGACACGTGTGTCACGCGCACACAATTTTAGTGACACACACGAATGTGTAAAATTTTGATTGTGTTTTTGAAAAAAAAAATTGAAGGGTTATCGAACTAGTTGAAGTGCCGGGAAAAACAAAATCCGACCAAAATTTTTATTTGCCACGCTGGTACAAAAAGGTTCGCCATCTCTGTACAGTGGGACTCCTACCCCATTAGCATGCCTGTAGTTCCATCGGTCTGACGTGAGTGCGCGATCTTGGTGTACACTGCACATGCGCATTAGAATTTTTCGAATTCACAATAAATGTTATTATATCCATTTGGATACGACAACAACCAGGTGTAAGTTCAGAATTTTAATTTGAGGGGCCCGGTCTGATCAAAGTGTATTAACATCGTCTCACAGTAAAACAAAACAATTATATTTAATGTCTCATCATAAATAAACATTTATCACAATGTATATTAAGGTAATTTTATACCAGCAGCCCACCCATAAATAAGCCCCTGACTGCAATCATTCTATCACGAACTCTATAATATATTCGCATGATATCTATGGTAGGTTTATCACACGACGATGACCATCGATAGTCTCTTATACTAGTAAGTAGTAATATTTCTACCCCGAAGTCTATGATCGAAGGCTTTCTAATACTAACACAGCCGTCTTACTATAACTACCGAATTTGTCGTCACACAAGTACTGAAGTACATGTCTTATATTATTATTTTTATTTATTATTATTACCATTATACTCTGTGAATATGGTTGCCACAGACTGCCGGGCAAAATATGGTTACGGTATTCCGCAGGAGGAAACAGCTGGGAATGCACAAACACATATTGTATAGCGTCAGAGCGTTGCCAGTTCGCGTCGACCCTTTTTTGGTACCTACCTATATATACCTAATTGGCCACATTTTAATTGGGGTCACAATCAAAGTGGTTAATTTCCATAAACATCACGAAACTCGGTACTTACGGTCCCCGAGCACATATTTTCGTTCACCTATAGGTATATACCATAATATACATAGTGATTCGCCAATCACTCTCATCTCGGTTGTATCCTTTAGTAATTATGCATAACGTGAGATTGAATAGACACGTATTTTTTTGAAATTTTTAAATAAAAGCTAAGATCATAGTACGTTCAGAGTCAGACACTACTTTATTATGCTGTTATCTTAAACGCTATGTGACAAACTTATTTTATCTCTAATATTTTTTTTTTGAAAAATCATAATTTGAATAGACTTACCTTGGGTTAATTACTTTGCTCAACTGATCGTTTGTGTTTTTTTGGCTGAGACGGCATGGAATACTTTAACGTTGAAAAACGGTCAGCTAGTCAAACAATTTTGAAAACCACTGGATAAATTGGACGCTTGGCCTCGAAATCTCTGTAGGTGTATAATATGTGTTACACCGAACGTTTATTTTAGCAGGTGTGCTATTGGATTGCTTACGCTGCGAACGTCTCCGTTCAAAACCGATAAATGTGTAGCAATAATAATAATTTAAAGACACTGTAACGAGGTCGGGCAGACCTTATTACGACATTAGCCGTGCTGCAGGAAAGGATTTCTATTCCTCATATGGAATTGGGGGTTAGAGCACTTGTGTATGAGGTTTTTATCGATAAAAAGAACTCGTTTGGCTTACAAATCTAGACAAATTATCAGTATAATATAGGTATACTTATTACTCTATCGGAAGATGGCTGTTAATAATACTGTATCTGTCCGCTCATGTCGATGGTGACCCTGAGCAACTGACAGCTGTTCGTCATTTTTTATAACAAGTACTATTACGTCAAAGTTGTATTAGGTGCATAATTTATTTATAGGGTGTAACAAAAGTTAGGAAACATTTTTAATTTAACACTCTCTAGGCAACAACATTGATCGTCCGTATAGTTACACGTGACACGACATTTTGGGATATACGCTCGCAATTCATTAGTATAGACATTTACATAAAAATAATAATAATAATATATAGGTCACGAGTGAAAATACACTTTAAACATAATAATTATTGTTGTTGTTCAACGCTCACCGTCATAAAGCATATTATTATTATTTTATGCACATACGTTATAATAAAAAATATGTATATATACGCAGTGAGAATTGCAGGGTGTAGGTATAACTACTATCACATTCAAAAAGTTCTGAGAACCTTTTCTATTGTCCCACTGCCGACGCCGCCGCGACTGTTATTACCGCTGTTTTCGTATTTCCCAAGCTTAGTACCAAACACATTTCACCTAGGTACGTACCGTATTTTTATAGTTTATATTATTTAGTTGGCTCAATATAATGGCGCCGTTAAAATAATTATACAGTTAAAGAAAAAAATAATACAAAACAATATTCTAGCAATTATTTTGAAAACTACCATTATGCGCAGAACTCGCAAACGTAATAATATATTTCAGTCAAACTTTCTTTTTTTTTTTTTGGTAACCCGTTTAATATAATAGGACGAAAATAAATCATCGCAAATGTATATTATTAAAATATCAAAAACTAAGCGTATAATATATAATATAATATTATATTGTTTTTAATTATATTTCTTGCCGAATCCTAGTTGAATTTATTCATTTAGTTTTCAATTTTAGACGTCTTATAGTATCACATTTGTCACATTCTTCAGAGTATATTTTAATAAAATACATAACTTTTATACGAAATATATTCGTTTACTGACGGGCTCTTTTAAATTATTAAAAGTTTTGGTACAATATTGCTACTCGACTATTTCGTTTATTTTGCAAATAGAAATACCAATAATAATTCACTTCAAATATTAGTATAACATTATTTATTGTTGATATTATTATTGGAATAAATGATTCTGTTAATTTAATTAAAATATTCATAACTTACATTTTAAATAATAATTAATATTTACTGTTTTTTCTGAGATGCAAATGCGTATCAAAATGTCGAAGTTTATTTCATAATTAATTGCTATTAAGCCAAAATCAAAAGTTACTTACTTTTTAACGACTAACATCATGTAGCTTATTTCACCTTCGAAATGTCAACGTTTCATTAAACTCTAAATATGTAATTATTTTAGAAAATTTAATTTCAAAACACTTTTTTCTAAAAAAAAATCTTTCATTAAACTATACGATTTTATAGTCGTCATAGTCAAAATAAATGAGAGTTGTGTAAATAACATTATAATAATTAATTTGCATTTCAAAATCAATTCAATCAATTAACTTAACGTTTAAACTTTTACGTATTTAATACACCTACTTACATTGTAGGTGACAGTAAAAATTGGAAAATACTGAACAATAGATACGTTCAAGTTAAATAGAGCGTTTATATTGTTCCCAAAATATATTTAACATTTTACTTTTATATTATATTTTAGTCGATTGTTAATTATTGCTAGCAAAACAAACTAAATCTTTAAATTGAAGTGGCGATAAACAAAATACATAATATTTTAAACATTGGTAACCATCCTTAAGCGTAATACTTTTTATTTTTCTGTTCATTGGTAATTTACAAAAAAAAAAATGTTCATAAATTAACAAAAATTGTTTCGTTTATTTACCAAAAAGTACGTTTAGAAATCTTGATAAGGATGATTAACGTTCGGTAAGAATAACGACTAATATTTATACTTGTATTTATGGTGGTAGGCAGTTAAGGTGCGTAGTTTATACCCTTAAATAATTTGTAGTTACATGTATTCGAAAGCGACGCGTATACAAACATAATAATATTAGTATTTGTGTACGAATTGTATTAATTAATTATTTTCTTACTTCATCCTTGGAAATGCTGCACATAATATTATAAAGATCATTTTAGTATGTTAATCGCTTCCAAATCAAAAGAATCAATTTGTTTCATAACTTGGCCTTTGCAAGTTTTGTACAAATTAAACTTTGTCAGTAAATTTGCCAAACAAAACTTTGAATGCATTTTTATCACCTAGACGTACAAGAATAAAATAAAATAAGCCAAAAGTCTTCGAAATGCGAATCATTCTCTTGTATGGGAGAAAATAACAATAAGAATAAAATATTAAATTTTTTTCACATTGCGACACAAACGACAGTAATCTACCCAGGGATGTACCTAAATTGACTATCCAAAGCGCCGTCTTATCGTACAAAGAACACAACAACAACACAATACGATTATAATATGATTATTTATATGCATCAATGATTTATTCAATACAAACATTAAATCATAACAAATAGCATTGGCATCTTCTCTGAAGTTTATTCACCTATCTAAGTAATTTTCGGTTAACGATTATTCAAAAGTCGAATAGATATTAATATATATATAATAATATGTATTATTAATATTTTTATTAATTAGTGTACATTTTTAGTTGAATATATATTATATTATACAATGTAATAATATTAATAAAGTCGTCAAAATGCAAAACTTTATAATAACCGATAAAATACTCTATGGTTTTTTTTTTCTAAAATATTTCTATATATACAACATAATACATAAATATTTATACGAAGATAGTTTTTGGATTCCAAAATAACGAGTCTTAAAAATGTTACAAATTTACATACAACGAAAATCAACGAAATCACTATAATGCGGTCGTTTATTTTGGTATTCGGGTTTTTGATTTTTATATGGTTATCTCATCCATACGCTGACCATTATCACAATCAATAACGAATAAGAAGACGTGTGTGATGCACCTGAAAAAAAATCAAAAAAACATATCATTAAACTCGATCGACCAAGCACCAAGCCGTAATAACCGTACAATAATATCACTTTGTCGTTAATTATTTATAAAAATAATCAGTAAGCTGTTGTCCTCGCAAAGCCAATAATAGTATTATTGATCACGTAAAAAATAACTACGAATTGTTAAATATCGTCATTAAATTACTCCGACACCGGTGCGGGAATTAAACTATGGTCTGCAGTGAGTTTTAATTCCCCAACTATCGTGTCGTTTTGCACCATTCAGTATGTACTTAATCGTGAATGGCGGGGGATGGTTAAGCGCATTACAAGAGTCAAATATACTATACTTATACCCCTCGAAAATATACGGGTTTTTGCCGTCTTTAAATGAGATTAAAATTCGAAATCTTTAATTATGGAATGGATTATAAAAGCGGTGACACGATGACCGAGATACGTGGATGTGGTTATAGCATTCGGTAGTAATTGCCTGTACCTCGTACTTGCCTGTTACTGCTGATATGGAACTTAAATGTAATGGGCATTAAATAACATTATATTTTAATTTCATTATTAGATGTAAGCCAATCGGATTGACAAGTTTTCATTAGGTTAGGTCATCTGTGCTGGGTATTAATATTATTATTTTAATTTATAGGCTATTTATGATTGTTATAAAATTTCCGATTAGATCAATATTACAGCATACAGCATACAGCATAACATAAATCATCATTGAAAATTTAAAGAGAGGTATAATATTTACCTACGTAATAAGTATTTTAAATTAATATAGCAATATATGTCATAATATAAATGTAGGTACTTAAATAAATAATTAGTTTGAAATTACCCTCTGTGTAGTTATCACTTGTATTATAGCAGCATTATCGATTGAAACATAATTCTTAGGATTTTATACATGGTACAATTGATCATAAAAAATTTACAATAAAAAAAATATTTAAAAAAAATTATAAGCATTATATATTATAACATATCATATTTATTTTTTTGAGCTTTATCTTTGGTGACAAGAGCCTTATACTATAAAATATAATAATGCAATTTATTAATTTATATTTAAAATAAAATAAATATTTAATTAATTTGTTTACTGATTATAATCAATATTTATATTTAAAAAATATTAACTACCTAATTATTATATTTTATTGATAATAATATTTAATATTTTTAATCTTTCTTTTTGGTTTTCCAATCAAGAAATTTGTCATAATAATAATTCTAACTTGTTTACGAATTTATATTTAAAAAAACTGTGTTACCGTTCAAAACTGTAATTAAAATGATTTTGATCATAAAAATATTTCACGCCTATAGACATCAAAAAGAGTGGAAAGTTCTATTTATTTAATTAGTGTACTTCATTATGACGTAAATTTTCAATATTAAGAAATTTATTTTATCATTATAATTTAAAATAATCATCCTAACTTATTCAACCGTTTATATCGAAAAAACGCGTTTGCCATTCAAAACTACAATGATTACAATTTTTTTTTAGTAAAAGCTCTCACGTCTGTACATATAAAGTGTAAAACATTTTATTTATTAAATTCGAGTATTTTATTTGCATATTGCTTATAGGTATATTTTAAACATTAAGGCTTTAACAAAACCAATTCTTTTTTCCCGAGTTTTTGTTGGTTTCAAGTTTTTAAGTTTTTATTCATTATAATTTAACCATAAAAAGTCATATTGTAAAAGAATTGTCGTAGTTATCTTTTTCCCCTGTTAACTCGTTTGTAAAGTACATTTATTTAAAATAATTGGTTTTAGGACGCATATTTTCGGCAAATCGTCCTTGACAAGCATGACAAAGTCCCAAACAGTTTCATATCTTGTAGTATAGTCTCTGCATGATACCAAACCAAAATGAGGAAAACGTTTCCTGGTAACAATTTTGATTATACAATCACAAACATAATGAAAACATAACGGTAGTTATAATATGCAGTGAATAAAAATATTATTTTCAATATACTTGCAACAACTATATCATTTTTAATTATTTAACTAATATTTTTTATGTCTCGTCAATCAGATATTTTGACGTTACGTGTATAACTTTTGATTATTTATACGCACACATCGTAATTATTGCATTTTTTTTTTTTATGTACAATATTGACTGTCATGCAAGTTTATACATGCCATTGAAAAAATTGTATAAAATTAAAAATAAAACAGCATTTGAACTTTATTGACGAACGCGGAACGACTATGATAATAAAGTAAGAATTTTTTTCCTGAACTTCATAATAGTTTTACTTATATGCTGTGGATAGCGACACTCACTTATAGACCACTTCTGATATAATATGCAATGAAAAAAAAATGTTAAATAAAATATAAACTTTCAAACGGAATGTTACAAAACGTGAACTTTATTGATGGACGATTACGATAATAAAATAAAGACCGAAAGTGAAATTCCATATAATATTTATGCCGAATTAAATATTTAAATGTATGAAGGGAGCGACCGAATTAATAACAGCAGCCGCGTAATAATTACGTTTTCACATAAAAAAAACACAAAAATGTAGTTTTGTATCTAGAAACACTGCTGTAATTATCCCTATAATAATAATAATAATAATATACACTCGCATAAATTATAAAGCATATATATAATATCTATGTGTGTATATGTATATGGGTTAGGAAGTGCCGACGAATATGCAAATGTCGGAATGGCATGTATATATGTATAAATGTTTGTGCGACACGTTTTATGTTACTGCTGCAGCAAAGGCGGTGTTCGAGAAATCATTTTTACCGTTTTATTTTCATCACCAACGACTGCAGCCTCTACGTATTATGGTCGTGGTGAAAATGAATACATATATATATCTTTATATATATATATACACGATGAAACAATAAAATAGCTGTAATATATTATATACATATAAAAAAAAAAAAACAGATCGAGAGTAACTGTTACGGGCGATAGGTTTTTGTCAATACATAAGTCGTCGTCGTGTTTTATACATTATCTCCGTGAGTACCATTCTACTACCTAGGTAGAGGTATGTATAAAACGTACATAAAACACACGCGCGGAGTCATACGCGTTGAATAGGTATAGAGTTCGAAACGTTTTGGCGAAATGATGTGCGCGTTTACTGGCTTTTTTTTTTGATTCTTAATACGAAATGCGTTTTCTGCGAGATCCTTTATTAGTAGACCCAACGAAAGTGTGTCATCAGATAAAAAAAAGAAAAGAAAAGAAAAAACCACACGAAATAAATGGCGACTATCACGCGCGCGTGTCGTTTCACGCCGTCGCGTCGTCGCTACCCATACGTACTATTTATATATAGGTATATTACACACATATATTATATCATCCTCATTCGGATTTTATTTTTCCATTCTTTCCCCTGCAGTTTTCATGGAAATAACCTTTCGTTATTTCGTTTTGACATATATCCACGCGGCGGTGGGTCTTATAATTCTATATACTCCCGCAGGGATCGATTTTCGCAGTATTTTCGACACGTGCCTATATGCTATGGGTAGGTAGGTGCCTAACACTCGGATATAATATGTATGCGCTTGGAGATGAAAAAAAAAACTGCAAATTCTGCAGGATTTTTCGGGGCTTGTCTCCATCCGGGCGCTTTTATATTTAAGGGAGGCAGTCACGATGAATCATTGCACTCCGAAAACGATTCTGCACAGAACCCGGTTTATCGTCTATTTGACGTCTCGTCGATTATTCTATCTAAGAGCGGTAGGCACTGCGGTGAGGTCCCCGTGAAAATGTTCAATACATTATGTATAAAATAAGCTCGCCGAGATTGAAAAGTGTTTTAAGTCCGTTCCGAGTGTGTGAATTGTGTAAAAAAAAAAGAAACCTGTTGCTAAAACCCGGTGTATATAAATAGCTGGTTGGTGGATTTTCAAACACAATAAAACGTCTTCGTCTCAAAGGCCGTAAAGGTATAAATATATTATTATCTGAGAGTGTGGTAAATACAGGGTGGCTCGCCGAGTTTCCCGTTTTCTCATATAAAACACTAACCGAATGAAATCACCGTGAGTCACACACTATTTATACTACCCACTACGAGTAGTTTCGCTTTGTACCCAGTATATTATCTGCACTGGGTAAATCGATGGTATTATAGTGCACAGACATGGTAAGTGACATTTTATAAAATGTTCCGGGCAAGAATTGGAAATTGTTTACCCTCATAAAATACAGTATTTATTTCAAACAACGACGTTATCTATTGGATTAAATATTAACCATACGCCTACAAACGTGTACAATGTGTGTATAGTATATTATGAAACAAAATATGGGGAATCGTATGAAAAGCTTAACTTTCAAATTTCTGCTAAAAATGTCACTCTTAGATATTAACACGTCTGCGTAATATACATTTTATTTACTAAATTGTGAGTGAATCACAGACCAACGATCGCAGAAATCAACAACATCAAAAGTCGAATGAAGTCTCCTTAACACTCGATGACGGAATTCACTAAGGTAGCTGGACCCAAGGGCCGGACGAGGTGGTGCAGTTTTCAATTAAATTAGAGTGAGTATTCCTTATAATATAGGTCTGCGACGTTGTTGCGTTACATAGGGATATTGTTACGAAATCATAGACCGTAATCAATCTAATGGCCGCGAGTGACGGCCGTTTTCATTTATTCAAAGATATCTGTGAGCCACAGCCACCAGATTTAGCCGAGTCACACAGTGTTTAGGGCCTGATTGCATATGATCTAAAATAAAAAGTGAATTGTATAGGTACAATGTTTAACTGATTTCGGTTGAAAACGTCATTTCCCGCATCATTTCACTATACATTTTATATTCTCAGACTCTCAGTTGTGGGCGACCGCGGGCCAACGATCGTGGCAGTTATCGTCAGAACAACAGTGAATGTCGAGTTGGGTCGCCGCGCCTTCCGCGATGACGGAATTCGCTGAGATAGCTGGCCACAGGGGGAGGGGGGGCGATGTCGCGCAGTTTTCGATTAGAACGGAGTGCGTATTCCTTATAATAGGTCTGCGACGTCGTTGCGTTACGGAGATGTCGGCCGAGTTGCTGTGTGATATATGCGATAGCAGCAGCTCACAAACACACGCACGAAAGTGCGGTATAGTTTACGTATTATATAATATATATATGTATATAGCATAAAACAGACCATCGAGCAAATAAATTGCCTTCCACGCGACTGGAGACCATTACATTACAACGACGCGAAGAATGTGCCCTTAATCCCCCGTAAACCCATTTTACACTACATTTTTCACCCGCTCGCTGGTCGAGAAAGTCTATGTGTGTGTAGTATAAAGTGTACGCACTCTCTCCCCCCCCCCTCTCCGTGCTCCTCCTGCTCCCTTAGACCGACAGATTTTTCTTGGCGCGCAGATTTTTATTTTCCTTTCCCCGACCTTATTCCTGGCAGACCGCGCCCACGTCACCGGGACCAGTCGACAGTGGGCGTCTTACAATATAATAATAACAGTTATAATAATAACAACAATAATAATCGGACGATACATATATATTAACGTTTCATCCGTGCATGTATGTATTGCGTGTCGCCATATTTACCTGTAGACGAAAACGTGCCCAGAATCGAAGCCAGGCGAGGTTTCTCCTCGTCCAGCACCGTCTCGGCCGACGTTTTGAACACTCCATACAGCTCGGCCACGCAGCGGATACGCATTTTGCCCACTTTGAAACTGTTCACCTCCAGTTCGAGCCCCACCGTGTTCGTCGACCGCCACGCGTCGTCTGATGCCGGCAGACCCGACGACGACGTCGAAGACCGGCCGTAACTCGAGTTCATCTGTAACCACACCGCACCACACACGACCGCAATGTTTATTATGGTTTAATAATAATAACAACAACAACAACAACAACAACAATATAAACGTCGATAATATTATTTATTATCGCGTGTGCGTTACACGCACTAATAATTATATTATGCAGGTGGGGAATGTGTGATTATATCACGTGCGCGCCAATCGATCATCGATATAGGTACCTATATATACGAGCCGCCGCTGCGGCTGTCATTCGCGATGCTATTAATTACACGTCGTTGCTGTGTAATTATAACACCATACGCATCGTGTACAATATACAGAGGTACCATAATAATATCACGGTAGTCATAATACCACGTAATTCGTATGCCGAAGCTTCCGTAAGCCGTTAGAAATATCATCATCTCGTATCGGCCACGGTGTGTACCGCTAGTGTTATTTGATGCGGACGATAACACTGACCATATTTATGACTGCCTAAGGATTTTTCTAATTTTTCGAACAGGTACTGCAAATTAATATTCGAATCGTCACTATAAATGCATAGTTTTATTATTTTGGTTTTCCATTATTTACATGAAAATTCGTGATTTTACAAGCACAGAGAACCAACCGTAGGTACTACGAAAATATTCAGTGATCGTTCAATATGGTATGTATTTATGGGTAATAAATAAAATATTAATTTTTTAAACCTATACAAGAAAATTGGCATTTATTTACAAAATTCTGGAATGAAAAAATATATTTTTTTCAAATTATTAAAGTGAACGTCTACAAACAAAAAAGCCATAACAAATTGAGCCAGAAAAAATAACCACTGACGGAGTCTGATACACTGTGCGATATCCATATCGCGGACCACATACGAATTTTTTCTCCGTGTTCTCGTGGTCCAAGTGTGCGTGTCCTATATTTCATATTATTTATTGTATTCCCGTGACCTATATAATACAATATTAGCTACCTTCGAGTATCGTATACAGGTACATATAGGTACAAAACGTTGTATGTCGTAGTGTTCTGGGCGCCGAGCGCGGTCCCCGCGAGGGAGATATGGGTTTTCATATAAATTTTCTGATATCAAAAGCAATTTAAATGGCTAACAAATTATTTATGGTCAGGACGACGAAAAAAAGCGAAATTCATACATTCACAATATTATAATATATTACTACGACGCGTTTATTGCCCTCTTGGTACTCGAACGCGTTTCAAATGCACGTGCGTTTTGACGTTTATGGCGGACATTTGTATAAATATATATATAAGATACCGCGTATTCGGACATATTTCACAGTCGGGTCTATATACTTTTCACATTGATATCGGATGCTGAATTTACAAAGTTCTTATCTGCCGATTTAAATTGTACTTTTGCTCTTTCAATGCCACGGAGGCGCGCAAAAAAGTCACGCCACTTTACATTGTATTGTGTCTTAACCGGGGACGTTTAAAAAAATAATAACAAACGAGGTAATAGCAATCGATACGTCTGCTCAGGAAAACAACAAAGTTTTAACGATATTTCTTTTCTTTTGCGTATCTGACAATATTATTATTATATATAGGTATAAATCGCAAACGAGTTTTCGTTTTGTTCATGGGCAATTGTGTTTTATTAGCTCCGTTAATTTGTTTATTGTGTACTCTTAAAATTTGATACTGTCGATAAATGCTCGTGACTATTGTATAAGTTTTTACAAATGAACGAACGTAGTCGTGGTATTTTACAACACAATAATGATATATTTTAAGCATTATTCTTATTAATTTTAAATTTAATTTCATGCTTGTAGCACGGGGGCGGGGATCGAAAAATAATACTAAAAACAAAACCTCATTAGTATAACTGATTATTAGAAACTAATATTATAATAAATGTACCAGAAAACAGAATATATTATGTCGATTTACAACAAAAATGCTAGTAGGGTTAGATACCTACTTTATGTTTTCCATTATGCTACATGGTGATGGTAATGTATTTTTTAAATTATTTGAGTGCAGACTGCAGATAAAATACACATTATCCATGTTTGAAATGTGTTTTTTAATGATCTCTCAAAGATTCCCTTTGATGTGCGCATATTATTATTCTGCGGGATCGTACCTAATAAGCAAACACATTATTGTGAGCCAAGAAAAACGGATATTTTCTATCATCCAATGTTATATATTTTAATAACATATTATTATTTACATCAAACCCGCTAGAGACGATAGAGTAACGAAGAATAATAAAACACAAAGACAAATACATTTATATGTGACATTAAGCCGATTTGATGTACAAATAAAGTCAGTGTTTTCAATTAATATTAATAGTTTGGCGTATTGACAATATTTAATTATCATTCCAGACACACATTTTTTTACAATCATTCATTTAATAATTATTAATCCCGTCGAATATGGACACTCATATTGCGCCCAAGTTTGTAATAAATTTTAATTGGGCAGTATAACCTTTTCAACTTTAAACGACAATTTATGGTGAAAAATTCAATGATATATTATTTTATGTATCCTAATAAACACGAGGGGTAGGAGTGGGAAGAGGGTAAGGGTACGAAAACAGAACAGCAGGTATATACGCGTTCCCTCGGATTTTCTGCGGTCCTGACCATGTTACAAGATAATAATAGTGAATATAAATTATAAATGACAGTTTAGGTATAATGTCCTAGAAATCTACCTCGTAAATTTTAAGTGATTTTGTTTCCAGTGAAAAACAAACTTATATTGTAATACATTATAATAATATATATTATACATGGACATTATTATAATTGTGAGTTAAAAAGTTTTGAGTTCACGCATTTTTTTTTAATTCGAGCCGGCGTAATAAATACGTTGTTGAAAAACTAGAATACATTTCTGTGTTAAAGTTAAATTAATTACGCTCGGGTAATCTTTGTAAAATGTAGACGCTTCCGAGTACAACACCAAGGTTAACTTAATGTGTACCTATTTAAATTTTAAAGTTACATTTTCCAGAAACTATTATAAAATTACTGTCTAACACCAGGCCCACCAGATCGATAGTAAATATAAACAGTATTGTAAATACAGATATACCATTTTAAAGCCCTACTCAGAAGCACTTAGCTCGTACAAAATATAGTATAGTATATTAAATGGACTTTTGAAAAATATACCTATTGTGCAAAAATGAAAAATATAATAAAAACCGATTTTTTTATTCTGGATAATAATTTTATAATTTAGAAAACTTGAACTTCACAATACGTCTTGTACCCTTGTCGGTATGAATTTGACGTGAACTTTAGGGCTGTTCCATTTAAAACTGTATTTACTTTTTGTTGAATATAATAACATAGGTATAATAATAATAATAATGTGTTTATAATATAATTAAAAATTCCTATTTAAAACCACATAACGACTTTTACAATACATCCACACAATAATGTGATAAAATAATTACTAATAATATATCGTATAGTAATAATTAAACTGTACTGTTTTAATACATACTAAAGCTGCTAGCTCGAGCCGTTTACTGCTCAAAACCCACTTTTTTCTCGGTATTTTAACTCAATTGTACAAGCAACTTTGAACACAATTAAGACTTTGTATAATCGGCTAATGTTGAACGTGAGGGGCAGCTCAATGTTGGGTGAAATGCGAGTGAAACTTTGTACGACCAAATGCATTGGGTTAGCGCACTTAAAGTTTATAACGCAACAACTGCACATTCTCCCGGCAGTTTACTGCACGACCAGTTGAACAAAATAAATAAATTGGTTAAGCATCATTCAATATAATATATTATTAAGATACATAATAATATGCGTTGTTTTATACATATATATATACAATATAAATAGGTATTATATAAATAATAGTAATAATAATTAGGGCCCCCGTGACGATTACTTTTGCGTCTTTTTTTAGAATATTATTGACGATAATTTCCTAGTTCAAAATATGTTTCAATGACATAAAACTAGTTTTGAAATTGAAATTTTAATCAAAATCACGCAAGTGTATAAATTGCAATTTTATAGTTTTATGAACGTTCCTTTTTAAGTTTTTACTATTTAGGTCATTAACATAATATAAAATATTTTTTGTGTTTTTGTATTATAAATTAATTATTTATGGCATTTTTATTCTTTTTATTGGGCATCAACATTTGGGCCCTAATAAGTAAATTATTAAATAAATTATATGTGACGAAGAAATATAAAATTAGAACACAACGGCGTCCTTACTTCACTATAATATTATGATGTTTGTTCGTATTCTGCACTATTAGTCTGAAATTAAACGAAACCTTTGACAAAACTATCAATGTTGAATATTATAAAAAATGATGAAATTTGAAATACTAATACTTACAACCGTATTCCGACGGGAAATCAACGTAGGTACATTAACAATGACGGTCTAATAAATAATGGCTTCATTACGATGAAATATTGTAGTAAATAGAGTTGGTACCTACCTGTATTTAATTAATTTAAAAATCTATTTTTTTAAAAAAAAGGTAGTTTTAAGGTGTTTATAATGCGATAAACAAAGATCATTAGTATATGAAAATAGATTATTATATTAGCTGTTACGATTGTAACTATCGCGTTTTACTATTGTTATGGGGCCCGGACTTTTTTTGAAAATACTTATTTTAATAGTTTTAGTAGTTGTACTACATCGAATTTGAATTTTTCACTGGGTATTTATAGTATAATATCATTACTACAAATAATTTATTATAATTTATTATAATATTATGAAATAATGTGTATTATAATGAAATAACTTCATTTACATAATATATGAATATTAAGAGCAATATTATAAATTTAATATTTTTCTAAAAACATTGTCATATTTTACAATTTAATGAAAAGAAGATCTAGATTGGGGATCTGACCAACGCATCTCATAACTTGTGTACAAGAGAACACGCCCTTCGATGAGCATGTCTTCCTGCAACACGAAATATCGTTAGAAAATATATTATTTTTGTGTTATATTATTTTGA